CTAATGTCACACATTTTGTTCAAAAAGTCAAAAATCAAGAAAAAGAAAAGCCTGCTAAGTCAAAAAACATGAAAACGTGTGACTTAGGCAAAATTAAGGCATCCCGCTGGACTGTCGATTCAAAAAAAAAAAAAATTAGTTCAGGCAAAAATTAGGGAAAATAAAAATTGCAAAGAAAAGTCCTCAGCAAAGAACAAATTGGTGACTACAAACACGGAGACATAAGGGTGGTTTCTACTCCGAAAGCCTCGTCGTTTCCTTGACCGTCACAAAATTCTTTTGAGAGATGAACACTCATGTTGAATTAACTGAACATAGGGTTGGAGAACATCATGAAGAATGGGTGGGCACCAAATATTTTGAGCCTTAAAAATCTTTTTTCTAAAAACCATGAACCAGGCCACGTTACAACCTTTAAAAGTCCTAATTGAAGCAAGGTTATTTTGAAAGCATACTTCAATGAGATAGTGTTCCTGACTCCCATGAATGTTCTAAATAGTCATGTTGGTATCATATGTTTTTCCTATACAAAAATAAATGGTGCTTTAACTCGCAAAATTTGTGCGATATCTTTCAAAATCTTCAAGACTTACATAACTGTTGCATTAGAATTTTTATTCTCATTGTAAACTTTTTCTAACTGCAAAACATTTGTTTGATATCAAAGAAGCTCACATAAGCACCAGTGATGAGTTTATTCTTTTAAGGCCTGAAACTATGTTGAGTAATTGGAGGATCACGTCAAGAAAAAATCATATCCAGGGGCATGTCACCTGAAGACCTTAAGCACGGACATGTTGATTCTCCCAGTTAATGCTTTCCCAACTCGCTTACCCTTTTGGGGCAAAATTTGAAGACTTTGTTGTGCCAACTACAGTCAATCTGGGGCAATCACATCGAAATTTGATGAATCTCTCTAAGAGTTTGAAGACACCAGAGCATGGTGAATGCCAAGTCTTTTGTAAAATCCTCTTGAGATGATTTCTCCTCATCAACCAGATAGCTTGGGGCATGTTAGAAGTGAAGCTATTCGCAAGAATTGTCGTGCAACATACAGCTCATCAACAGTAAACTTGGGGCGTCCAAAATTGGTCCCAGGGGAAATCCAAATTTGTTAAGATATATGATATGCTTTGAACACATTATCAGAGGGTGGTGTTCCCAGTATCTCCAGCTAAGCATGACTTTTTCCAGCCGAAACATTGTTCGTGTTGTCATCCTTTCAAGGGATTGTTAGTGATAGAAGACTAGACTTTGAGTTTTCTACCTGAAAATATCTTCCTCTCCAGAGATATTTAAGCCTTGTAAAAGGACCTTGCTCTAATGATGGCCTGTGTTTTATCTCCAGTAATGTTCCCATCCTGTTGAGATTAGCCGAGTGTTGGGTTTGTGCTATGATGTCTTATCATCTCCAGTTTATCTTGTCTATTTGTTTTGTCAGCACATACATGGTATTCATTTATTCATTCACACTTGCATCATGCACACACAGTTGTATTTGTTGATGTCATTGAGTTCGTATACCTTGGTTGTGTCTATTCAAATAATGTATTTGATCTTTCGAAGTAGAGTGCCAACTTAAGCAGAAAGTGCGTCTTCTTTCTAATTCCCCACTGAGTTAACTCTCGTGGAAGAATCTTGCTTTAGCTTTCCTTTTCCATCTCTGGATAGGATAAATCCCCATTTGAGTTGTTTCCTCATTGGGTGGGGTCTTGTTTGACTGTTTTCCTCTCCAGTTTATTCCTGGATTGAGCTTTGTCTCTTGTGAACAATACCCTGTGGATATCTCTAGGCTGTGAAACCTAGATGGAGAGTGCATTTATTTTGCAACATAAATACTTGGTCTCCTCAAGAAGGATTTATTCATGGTTCCCCATTGAAGATGAACTTTATTCCCCAGCAGTGTTATCACAACCTTCTTCTGGAATATCGACATGACAACAAGCGACTGACTCTTTATTTGAGCAGTTTGATTATTTCTGATTTCTCTACGACAAATGGCGGTCTCTTCATGAGCAGTTTGTCCATCCTCGATGAAATTATTGATTCTCACCTCCAACAATATCTTCATGATATTTTATGGGTATCTTTGAGAAAACAGCAAGCGGCAGTCTCTTCATGGACAACTTGTATGTTATCAACCCTTTTGAAAACAGCAAGCGGCAGTCTCTTCATGAGCAACTTGTGTGTTATGGATACTCTTGACAAACAGCAAGCAGCGATCTCTTCATGAGCAACTTGTATGTTATTGTCACCTTTGAAAACATCAAGTGGCGGTCTCTTCATGAGCAACTTGTGTGTTATTGTTACCTTTGAAAAATGGCAAGTGGCAGCTTCTTCATGAGTGTGCTTTAATATTCTTTGAAGACAGCAAGTGGCGGTCTCTTCATGAGCAACTTGTATGTTATTGTTACCTTTGAATAAACAGCAAGCGGCGGTCTCTTCATGAGCAACTTGTATGTTATTGTTATCTTTGAAAAATGGCAAGTGGTAGCTTCTTCATGAGCAGCTTGTGTGCTTTGATATTCTTTGAAGACAGCAAGTGGCAGCTTCTTTATGAGCAGCTTGTGGATTTTTGGCAACAAGTGGCGGACTCTTCATGAGCAGCTTGTGTGCCTTAATATTCTTTGAAGACAACAAGTGGCGGTCTCTTCATGAGCAGCTTGTATGTTATTGACACCTTTGAAAGGAAGCAAGTGGCAGACTCTTCATGAGCAGCTTGTGCGCTTTAATATTCTTTGAAGACAGTAAGTGGCGGTCTCTTCATGAGCAGCTTGTATGTTATCGACACCTTTGAAAGGAAGCAAGTGGCGGCCTCTTTATTTGAGTAGCTTGTGTATCCCCAACAATAATGTTTACTCAGCAAATGGCATCCCTTCGGAAAAGTCCCGTGGGGAAGTTTGTTATTTTATCCTTTTCAAGCGATATCTTGGTTAAAGAAGAAATGTGTTACCGTTCTTGGTAAAATTCAGAAATCAGAGATGTTTATCTCCAGCCACAGTGCTGATGTCAATCATTTTGTTTTCCAGCCACAGTGCTGATGTCAATCATTTTCCAGTCTAAGTACTGATGTGAATCATTACCTTTTCCAGTCTCAACACTGATGTAAATCATTCAAGAGTCTCTCATTTGAAGTCTGTGATTCTGTTTCCCCAGTGGAGTTACAACCTCTTCCTCTGTGGGATTACTGTATAATGTGCTTGGTTTCTCCAGCATAGTCTGTCTCATATGGCGTCATTCCCCATAAAATTCAGAGCATTACATTCATATCATATCATGAACATAATCGCGGTATCTTAAGGCCAAAAATTGTGTATTCTATATTTAAGTCCCTTCAATCTCGTCGAAATGAAGATCCCAATCTTCATATCTCCAGATAGAAGAAACTTAAATAGGGGCAGCTGTTGTACCCTAATTTTTGACCTAAGATCCCATTTTTATTTTTTGCATTTTTAAGATAAGTCAAGGTCACGAAATACAGTCGGTTTTAATCTCTCACCTTCGAGCTTTGACTATGCGAAGATTGTAAGTGTTTTGAACATTTTTAGCATATGTATCACTAATTTCTGATCGCATACAAAGGTGTATGTTCATGTTTTCTTTTGTTTCATGTGCAGAGACAGGTCTGAATCAAGAGCATCAGGTGTCGCGCCTCAATTAAGGTTTTGAGTCTCCCAAGCCAAAAGTACGATTGATTGTGGATTCTCGAAGACTGATTCATCAAGGCACAACTGTTGCACCCTAAATTTCGCCCCTAATATGTTTTAGTCGCACTTTCATATCATATTTTGTTATTTGGTCACAATCATTAGTAAATATCTTCATTCATCACATTTTGCATCATTAGTCGTATTTAAGTTGACCAGAAAAAGTCAGTTTAAATCAAAGTTTGCATCGTCTTTCAGTTGTAAAATACCCGACATTTCACTTCATTCATTTTTATCTGTTTACTATTTTCTTGCATTGCTCCAAGTTGTTTATATGTCGATAATAAAATATTTCGGTTTTATAGACAGACTGTTAAAAGCGATTCGACACTATGCGGGAAATTAGCGAGAAAATATTTCAAGTTTTCACCTTTTTACCGATCATTTTATGAATCTGCGTTTCGCGTAGATTATGACGGTATGCTCGCTTTATTTTTCGGTACAGTTCGAAGTCTCGTTTTTAACCTTAAACGTCTGTTTAGTCTGATATTTTTATTATTATTTTATTTTTGATTTTTGACTTCTTGAATATTTTTTCTTTAATCTTTGTGACATGTAGATTATTTTAATGTGTTCATTTTATTTTTTCGGATAAATTTTCGTCCGTTTTTTATCATTTTCGATCATTTTGGGTCTTTATTTTTTATTCATAAAATATTCAAAAAAATCATTTTAAATTGAGTTATTTTTTTATAATTTCAGGTTTTTATTTTATTTTTGTCATTCAGGGGCTTTTTGGTCATAAAAATATTGATTATACTTTGCTTTTTTCCTATTGGTTGTTGTCAATAGTTGCGGATAGATACATAAATTTGCCAAACGAAATTGCAAATCAGATCATTCTTCTCTCTCTTCATTTTCCTATTTAAAGAGCCCATATTCTCTTTGTAAAAAAAACACAAAAACAAATAACAACACAACAAAAGCAACACAATAACATTTCAACCCTTTACTCTCTATTCACCCCTCTCTCTCTCCGCGCGCAGCAGTAAACCCCCTCTGTCAAACAGCTCCTTCCTCAACAAACTTCTCCACACATCTCAATTTCCCACCATTCTCCATCTTCAATCTTCCTTCCTTTCCATTTCCGTAATCCTTCAGCACTCACCATCAACACCATCCGCCAACCTTTTACTGTAAACCACTCACAAACCATCTCCACTCTACCTTTCCCTCTCTTCCTCACCAATTACACAAACACAAAATAAAAGAACTAATAACAACTCCCTCTCAACTTGCCATTTTTTTTCTTCAAAACCATCAACCCAACAATCCACCCATCACCATCCCATTATGCAGTACATAATCTCTGCATCTATTCTTCCTCACATCATACAACCCAACATTCATCATTTTCCCACTACGGTCATCTTCCTTCAGCAACCTGCCTCCGCCTCTATTTCAACCGCGAAACACCCTTTCATTACCTTCTCAGATTCTTCAAATTTAAGTTCGGAGAGAAGACCTAAATTATATGAAAAGATGGCAAGGGATCTTGATGAACATGGAGCTGCTTTTCTGAAACATGGTGAAACCTCTCAGTCACTTTCTATTTCAGATATCTTCACCTTGAATGATGGATCTGTAACACCTGTATTAAAGCCTGCAAATCCTCCGGTGCGAGCTAATGTGTTGTATTTGAGCACTGAATTCTCGGTCCCCGTTGTGGAGGCTGTCAAAAATATTTTCAATCCATACTTTGATAAAGAACTCTAGCATGTACCATTTTAGCATGTTCCATGCCTCTCACCATATTGTACCTGTACCTGCCACTAAACAAGAGATAGAAGCTGAAGCATCTTCAGTGGAAACTGTTGCTGCAAGGCTCTGTCCTTTGAATATTGTTTTGGATCGAGTGGTTTTAACTTCAACAGGGGTGCTCCTTGGTTGCTGGAAGGTAATCTCGGATACAGATCCCATAACCATTCGTGCTAGATTGAAGAATGTACTTCCATGCGCATCATCAAATTTCCGCCCTCCGAAACGCACAAAACAGCCGGACCGCCACCGTCATTGCCACCATCAACACCATTGTGCCCAGTCGACTTTTCTCCATCACAAAACAAAGGGGTGATGTGATTGTTAGATTTGATGGTGTACGTGTTGGTTGTGAAGGAACAGTTCCATTCCGATCAGATGAGCGAATTGCCTTCCACCTCCTCATTAGTCAAAAAGTAAGGGCTTCTTTCCCTTTTAATATAAATATGTGTTTGGTTTACAGTTTACTACTTAATTTCAGTATTGTCTACCAAATATGTGGTTGTGGCTTATTAAGATTTCTTTTATGACATAATCATGAAGCAAGTATCAGAGCATTTTCCATTTGCTTTTATGGCCGTTGATGTGCTTATGAGAAATTTGATTGGCAGAGTTTACAGTTGATATAATGTATATATAGAGCTAAGATATTCTAAGGAACTGCATTAGTGAGAACATGCTAAGTTAGTTTGTACTATGAACATCTATTATATAACTATAAAAGAAGTCGGAAATCTTAAATGCAAAAAAAAAAAATATAAAAAAAATATTAGTAAATTTTATATTTAGATTTAGTTTAGTATTAATTTAGAATTTTTTAATTAGTTTAGATTTATTTTATAACTTTAAAATATTTAGAATCATAATTAATAACTTTAGAATTTTATTTTGTTTTAGTTTTATTTTATAACTTTAGAATTTTATTTCATTTAGTAAGTTTTAGAATTTTATTTATTTTTATTTAGTTTAATAACTTTAGAGTTTTTATTTGATTTAAATTTAGTTTAGTAGTTTTAGAATTTTATTCGATTTAGATTTAGTTTAATAACTTTAGAGTTTTTATTTGATTTAAATTTAGTTTAGTAGTTTTAGAATTTTATTTGATTTAGATTTAGTTTAGTAACTTTGGAATTTTCATTTGTTTTAGATTTAATTTAGTAACCTTAGGATTTTAATTTAATCTAGATTTAACTTACTAAATTTTAAAACTTTAGTTTAGTTTAGATCAAATTCAATAATACTAGATTTTTTTTATAACCTTAGAATTTGTAATTAGTTTAGAATTATTTTAGTAAGTAATTTTTAATTTAGTTCGAATAACTTCTTTAGATAATTAGTTATATTCCTTTTATTTGTATATTTCTGTCATTTCAATTTCTCGGTGCCTCTTGATCATTAATTTGTTTTTGTCAGATTTATTTTCTTGTGAACTTCTGAATGCTTATATTTTGATGTTCATTTTATTTTGCTTACTCCAAGGAAAAGATTTAAATTTTGTTGACTTCACGTCATCAAACACATCTCATCCAATCGTGCGAATACCCTCATTCATCTTTTGTTTGTTTACTGTTTTGTTAAACCTGAGATAATTTTCCCAAAAGATTCAATTTTTAAACTAACACCTTTTAAGTCAAAACTTCGACATTAGGTTGTTGTCTCTTCAAAAATCTCGTCCATACCCATCTTTTAGCCAAACGAATCATTTTAATCAAACAAACAATTTTAAACCAAAAACAGATATTTCAAAAGGTTCCTGCGGAGTACCGCAGATGCTTTGGGTGCTAATACCTTCCCATTGCATAACCAACCCCCGAACTCTCAATCTATTTTCAAAAACGCATTGTATTACTTTTATTTTACATTGCATGTTTTTAGGGTTTTATTTCGCTCTTTCCCCTTTTCCCTTGGAAATAATAAAGCGCGGTGGCGACTCTTGCTTTTGCGAGTCAAGTTAATTAATAGCTTGATCTCCGATTTTCACCGCTACAGGAAGATTTCCATTACCTACTGTTCTAGAGCCAATGATCTTTCCCCTTTGATTGCCTCCAAAGCCTACATGGCCTCCAGGCTTAAGTTCCAGGCTTTGGAACATATGCCTTCTTCCCGTCATGTGTCGCGAGCAGCCAGAGTCCAGGTACCATGACTGGTGTTTCTGCTTTGCTGCTAAAGATATCTGCAACATGTATTATTTTATCCTTAGGTACCCATATTTTCTTGGGTCCTGATTTGTTAGTTTTACCAAAACTCTGGTTGAATTTTGGTTTGACAGAATAATTGCTACTAGTATATTTGATGTCGTGTGTGTGCCCATATACAAAGTGTGACTTAAGAGGAGTTCGTTTAATCACTAAATCCATGGCATTCTTAGGTGTAGGTACCTTACCTTGGTATCCTATTCCCTTTCTTCCATTTCTGCTAACTCCATAGATCATTAAAGCCATTTTGCTTCTATCTATGCTTTTAGCAAGAAACTTCTGAAAGTTGTGATCATACTCCTTGATGATCTCATTAGCACTACTGGGAGTTTCAATAATTGTTTCCTTATGAGAGTTTTGTAAAAGATTTTCTAATTTTGAAACTTTATTTTTCAACTCAGAATTTTCCAACTTGAGACTCTCAGTTTTATCAGAGTCAGAAGCAAGATCCCTTTTCAGGTTTCTGAATTTGACTCTGATCTGCTGATGTCGTTCCAGAATCTCATTAAGGCTTTCAGCAAGTTCAGCCTTAGTAAAATTAATAGCAAGTCAGGAAATACCTCTTATGTGTCTGATTCAGAGTTTGATTCAGAAGCTTCACTGTCTTCTGATATGTTTGCCATGAGAGCTATGTTGGCTCTCTCATCATCTGATTTTGAGTCAGCTTCAGATGTGTCAGAGTCATCCCATGTGGCCATGAGACTTCTCTTCTTTTCCTTTCCAAACTTTCTTCTAGGCTTTTCCTTCTGAAGCTTTGGGCAGTCACTCTTGTAGTGTCCTTGCTCCTTGCATTCATAGCAGATGACGTCCTTGTTGTTTGGCTTTCTGCTTCCTGAAGAGCCTTCAGGTCTTCTGTATCCAGAGGTGGGTTCTGACCTTCTGTATTTGGAGGAGGATTCTTTCTGGTTCTCAGATCTTCTGGGAGTCCTGAACTTTCTTTGCCTCTGCTTCCACAGTTGGTTCACCCTTCTGGAGAGGAGGGACAATTCATCTTCTTCTGATGAGGACCCATCAGAGGTTTCGTCAACAGCCTGCAAAACCTTAGATTCATATTTTCTGTTAGATTTTAGAGCTAAAGGCTTACCTTGCTTTTGAGGTTCATCAGCTTCCAGCTCTATCTCGTGACTTCTGAGGGAGATGACAAGTTCCTCCAGAGAGATTGTATTGAGATCTTTAGCTAACTTCAGCGCTGTGACCATTGGCCTCCACTATTTTGGCAAGCTTCTGATGATCTTCTTGACATGATTAGCAGTAGAATACCCTTTGTCCAGGACTTTGAGACCAGCAACCAGAATCTGAAATCTTGAGAACATTGTTTCAATGGATTCACTTTCTTCCATCTTGAATGCCTCATACTTCTGAATGAGCGCAAGAGCTTTAGTTTCTTTCACTTGAAGGTTGCCTTCATGCGTCATTCTGAGAGAATCAAACATGTTCTTAGCAGTGTCTCTATTTGATATTTTTTCATATTCAGAGTAGGAGATAGCACTGAGAAGAATAGTTTTGGCCTTGTGATGGTTTTTGAAATCACGCTTCTGTTGATCAGACATTACTTTCCTGTCAATCTTCTGACCATTTGCATTCACTGGGTGCGTGTATCCATCTGTCACCATATCCCACAGATCAGCATCGTGGGCCAGAAAGAAGCTTTCAATTCTGTCTTTCCAGTAATCAAAGTTCTCTCCATCAAAGAATGGAGGTTTTCCACTGAATCTGTCTCTTTATTCATTGTGATCATTGTTGATGTTTTGATGTTGTCCTGCCATAGTTTTTTTCAACGCTGGATCTTGTACTGACACAATTAAGTGTTATGAACTCAGAACCAGGCGCTCTGATGCTAATTGAAGAAGTGAAAAACACAAGAAGGGGGGTTGAATTGTTAAAACTTGAAATCAAATGCAGACAACACATTATTTTTATACTGGTTCGTTTGATCTCAAACTACTCCAGTCCACCCGTCAAGATGATTTCGCCTCTCTCCAACGAGGACTTAATTCACTATATTCAACTGAATATTACAACTTCTTTAACAACTGCTAAAGCCTTCTTGACTCTAAACCACATACCAGTTTCTCAAGGAAATTCTTTCTTACATATAAATGAACAATATGTGTGTTGAATATTTTTTGGAAAAAACTATATATCACAACTGTGATAATACACAAATCAAGCTTATGTGAAACTAGAATGCTAGAACTATAGAGTAAGCAATTGAGAGCTTTAGCAAACTGTATGAGTGAGGATGAAGATGATTGACTTTAGGTGTGTAGAGTATTGTAGAGCATTAGCCATTTCACTTCTCACTGATTTGTTTAAATACTTCTTGGAATAGATACGTTGATGCCAATTATTCCATTTCAATGCTCATTACATTCTTTCCATATTGAGAAGATCTTTGTCTTGGAATAATGCCGTTGGTAATTAATCTGCCTTGAATGCAGTACCGTTGAAACTTCAGAATGTTCTGCGTAGTGAAGATCTGAGCGTTCTTGGCTTTAGCTTATTCTGATTGCTTCTGAGTGCTGATGACGTAGTTAAGATCTTGATCAGAGTCAGAGTATGTTGAGCGCAAATTATGTTCATCAGACTTCAGCGTAAGCATATGTATTGATCTTCTGGTTGACAACTTCTGATGCTGATGTTGATATGCTGATGCTGATTCCATCAGAGTTTCCTGTTGTGATCGGTGGATCTGGAACTGACTGTTTAACGCTGGTTCGTGAAATGTCGCGGAAGCAAGAGTCGCCACCGTCTTTTATTTTCTCCAATATGGAAAGGACAAAAGCGCAGAAAAATTCCTTATTGAGATTAGCTCTCGGTTCAGGAGGTAGATTTATAGAAAGGGAAGGTGTTAGCACCCTTTCTATCCATGGTTATCCATGGGCTCTTAGGTACTTTCTCATTTGTGTTTTCAAAATGTGTTTGCTTTTCAATTGTGAGTGAGTTTGAAAAAGTTTCTTTGAAAGTTTCAGATCGACTCTTGTATCAGTCCTCAAGAGTGTTTGAAAAGTTGTTTTTGAAAGCTTTTTGAAAAGTGTCGGTGTGAAAAGGAGTTTTTGATTTGTTTTGAATTAGAGCAAGTATCTACGAGTCATCTACCCACCCTAAGGAATTAGGTTGT